ATGAAATAATATCTGTGAGGAATGAAAAATCTATAGTCCCATACATAGCTTAAAATTGTTTGTTGGCCGAGCACAGTGGCTCACGCCCGTAATCCCAGCACTTTGGGAGGCCGAGGCGGGTGGATCACGAGGTCAGGAGATTGAGACCATCCTGGCTAACACGGTGAAACCCCGTCTCTACTAAAAATACAAAAAATTAGCCAGGCGTGGTGGTGGGTGCCTGTAGTCCCAGCTACTCGGGAGGCTGAAGCAGGACAATGGCGTGAACCCGGGAGGCGGAGTTTGCTGAGAGCTGAGATCGTGCCACTGTACTCCAGCCTGGGCAACAGTCTCAAAAAAAAAAAAAAATTGTTTGTCATGATACATAAAATGATAGGAATGAATAGCAAAAAAAATAAAATAGCACCCCTAATGTATTCATTTTCTGTCGCTGCATAACAAATTACCAAAAACTGAATGGTTTAAAGTCATACCCATTAATTACCTCATAGTTCTGTGTGTCAGAAGTTGAGCATGGAATGGCTGGATTCTCTTCTCAGTGTCTCACAAGACTAAAATCAAAGTTTTGGTTGAGTTGAATTCTGATTTGGCACTTGGGGTCCCTTTTAAGTTCACAAGATTGTTGACAGAATTCCTTACGGTAGTAAGGACAGAGTTCCTTACGGTAGTAAGACAGGTTCTCCTTCGTTGCTGGCTATCAGCCAGATGTTGTCCTCAACTTCTAGAGGACGACCTCAGGGGCTATTTTCTCCTTCCACTTTATGTATTTACTTATCTATTTATTGGTTGATATATTGTATTTCCCAGTAAGCATAAAGCATTTATTAATTTAGTTTTTGTTATTCTTATTTTCAAGTAATATTTCCAAACATTTTCTGACCTGTGGCCCATTTTTATATTTATGTAAACCCTCCAGTTCTTAAAAATATTATTCATTTTAATATTATAAGATAAAGTTAGATTTTTAATTATATTAATAAATTGTTAAGGATTATGTATTCTTTAATAATACCCCAATGAAGAGCTAAATTTGATTTTTTCATACTAACAAATAAATTTTACTCTAAAATAATCAGCTAATAAAAGCATAATGTGTTAACATATAAATTAAGTTTTAATGTACTGTGTTTTAGAACCAAATATATAGTGAAAAGTAACCTGAAATTTAACTACCTTTTTGGTCATCAAATATAGATAAACACTTCTTTTATTAATTGCTATTTGAATTTTTGTATTTCACACTTTAAATTGTATTATTTTGTTTTTCATATTTCTAGTATTTAATTTCTTAATTATGAGGTAAGAAAGAAGGTGCAGTTTGCTTAATAAATATACTTCTCCATCCATGTGAATTATTTTTATGCTAATAAATAAAACATTAAATATGTGTGTGTATATATATATATATGATACTACATTTTCTTTTTGATAATTGGTTTTGAAATACCAGACAACACTTCTTGCTTTGTTGGAATACAAATCAACTGAATGTAATTTTCAAATCCAATAAAGATGGTGTTGTAAATTTACAGAGAGAGATTTCTCTACTTTCAACTGTGATTTTCAATATACTTATATTTGCCAATACCTTTAACCAATGATATCTAAAATAACTTTAAAAGTAATAATAATAACGATGTAAAATTGAATAAAGTTTGAAGGTCTCCTCACAGCTAGGACTGTTCAGTTTGATAAGTTTAATGTGTGCTCATTTGATAACCACTAAGAGGATCTCAAACTGTTTTCCTTTTTAAGCAGTTAGAGTCCGAATGGATTTGAAAATCGAAATGGAAACAGACACATTTACCAGTTTTGTTATTGTTAATCCTTGAATATTGGAAACCAGTGGTTGGGAAAAACTGCATTATAATAGTAGACAGATGAGAGTTATAATAGAAAGTAGTTAATTATTAAACCATAAGATATGCATAAATAATTTGCTTTGACATCTCAGAATGAGATGAGGAAATGCAGAGATAACAGGATATTATGTAAAGCTTTGAAAAAATCGATAGGATTTGAACATGTGGAAAGGGAAAGAAATGAGCTTCTAGGCAGAGCAAACGGTTTAAAAAAAGACTTGGAGGCCCTTAAACATATGGGATATGTACATGAAGCAGAGAGGCATTAAGTTTGCCTGAAGCTCTGCCAACTCAAGAAGTAGGAAATCATTTTCAAATTTGGGGGAAAAAAAAGAAGAAAACTGAGGAAATATCACAGAAAATGTTAAATGCTTGGCCAAGGTATCCATTCAGTAAGAATTGGGAAGACACTGAAAAGGTATGAAAGGTTAGTGCAAAGGTTTATTCTCTTCATGTTTGGCATATCTTGGCTTATAATTCCTCATTGCTTCATTATTTCCAACTGTCCTTGAAAACCTAAGTGTCCCAGATTTGTAAAAAAGAACCTTACAATGATATTCAAGGTATCTGTGGTATCTTTTGCCTTGATGTTTCTATTATTATTATTTTAAACTTTGCAATTCATTATTTTCCACGATCTCCCATTTCCTTATTCACAAATTGGCATTAAATTGCCAGATCTGTATGCTTTACCCTGGAACTCTAAGTTTATAAATTGAATATGTTTTGCCATACTATTTTGGGGTTATGATCTAGGTACCTCTAAGAAATACTTTTATTTTAGCAAATATTGTATATTCTTTATAACAATTTACAATTAGAGGAAGATAAGGGGTGGCATGTCCTGTTCATGTATCTTATTACCAAATTCAGATTATAATCAGTGGTCATATCCATGGTTCAGGAGGTGACACAACATATAGCCAGAAATCAGTCATAAATATGAAGGCTTAGGAGAAGAGATTTCATCTCTATCAAAATTGAAACATTTTTAGCAAAAAATCTAAGACCTAATAATATTATATAACAAGATATTTTTATAATTGTGTGTGAGATACATTTCAAATAGCCATTTAATAACTCATTACTATAGTCTCTTAGATGACAAAGAAAACTTACACATTTTCTGTTCATACTTGTTTGATATATTATCAAAATTAGGGACTGTAGTCATAGATTCCTGAAAGAAGTGAGCTCAGGTTAGTGACATTAACCCTTGCCTTTCTGTTTGTAGATGTGATACAAAATTTTAATCTTTGATGGAATATTTCTGACCAAAATTAATATATAAAGTATATGCTAATACTTGGTTTTAATTCTGGTTTATTACCTTAATGTCTTAATTGATCCATAAACTTGAACACCTTTTGCATTACAGAACACACATGTAAGCAATTTTGGAAGCTCTTAAAATTAAGGTTGGGGACTTTCACTAATATTTTTAGTTTGCTTTTTATCTAGAAGTTATATATTTTGTTTTGTTTACATCAAAAGAAGTACAGTGAATAACATTGTCTGTGTTTTTGCTTTTCCCCTTAAATGATACATAATAGAAAAATTTAATAATACAAGGAGAATATTAAGCCATGGAAATACTCAGCTATATTTTAAAGACAATTATTAAAAGTTTACCTGAATACTAAGCTACACTTACAATGCAAATTGGAATGTTTCCCATAGACTTTTTTTTTTTTTTTCTTTGCATGGAGATCACAATTAAGCAAGTTTGGAGTGTGCTGTCTATTTTTTTCTTAGCTTCATCTGGTATCTCCATATACTGTTTGTCTCCTTCTCTTTCCCTTTCCACACTATTCCCTTAGAGCTTCCTTCCTTGTCCTTAAGAGATTATTCCAAGCTGCCAGTTCAAGGACTCTATACTGTAATGCCCTGCAAATGATCGCATGGAAGCTATTGGTAGGTATAAATTTTAAGATAAAAAAGAGAAGCAAATAAGAAGCCATAATCTAGTCTAAAGGAAACATCTGGTCCCTACCAGAAGTGATGTGCTAAAAATGAAACACAGACCTGTGGGATTTGAATTTTAAGTTAATAACAATGACCACAATATAGCAATGAGTGATTTAAACAGCTAAGATTTCAAGGTCTAACTCTGGATTAAGGTTTATATGACATTACCCCTTCCAGGAAACTTTGAAACATAGGAGATTGATTGTTAAATGCAAGCAAAATTCATAAAGCAGAAAATATTTGTGATACTTGTGTTTTTGATCGACAGCAGATACAGTTAGGCCTGCTCAGTCTTTCTGTAAACTTTTCTTCCTGTACAGTTAAAAGTCAACTTTATACTCATTTTGTTCATAAAGACAATATCTAAAATAGCTTTCATTATTATTTTTTGTCTTTTGACTTTATGTTGTGGACATTTAAGAGAGTAGAGATAATGGTATAATGAGCCCAGGTGATCATACCTCAGCTTCAATGTTTATCCACATTTTGCCATTTTGGCAGTAAACCACTTTTAGACATTCAATCTAAAGACCTTAACATAGAGGACAGACATGATATAAACGGATATTTGAATATTGGAATTTGGAGGCTAAATCAGAGATGAGATAAGAATTGCAATGACCAAGGTCAGAGGTCACTAGGAAATAACAGTCGCTAAATTTTATGTTTGTATTACATGCATACCAATTCACAACACAGAACTGATTGAATTTATTTAGCTACTATGTGCTAATTGTAGTGTTAAAATATCTGCAGGATCAAAGAGATCATATACAACACCGTGTCCAAAACGGTCACATCTACTTTTCTTGATGATAGCTCAAATAAAAACTCTATTCCATTGCCTTAATGCTAAATAGAAGCTTTGGCACATTACAATATAAATTCCCTTGGAGGTTTGGCATAGTTATTTGCAGGTCATGACTCAGTGTTAGCCAGTTTACCCTTGTTCATCTTAGGGCCTGTCACATTGAAGGCTTTCCATGAAATTGACCGAATGAATTGTTTCAATACGTAATGCAATAAAATACATTTCTAGGTACCAGTATAGGCAATTGAGAGATGTGTTCAGATTTTCTATTTCTTAATAATTCAATCTTGGAAGATTGCACATGTTCAGTAATTTATCCATTTCATCTAGGTTTTTGCAAATTGCTAGCATATAACTGTTCATAATAATTTCTTGTGATCTGTTGTATCTTTTCCCTTAGATCTCAGCATTCTCTCCAACGTTGAACCATTCTTCGTGAGTTCATTGGTACAGATATTCTAGGTAGGTCTGACTTTTGAGAAAATCCTTGGATGAGTTGTGATTATGAAAATCAGACTGACACACACATGCATAAAGTAATTAATTCAAAACAAATGCAAATTAATAAATAGAGCCACCTCAAGTCACACATAAAGCCAAATGCTTTGCTCAGGATTCTACAGCAATTAGAAGCTGACTCCATCAGACTCTTGGTCTTTTGACCACATTGAGTTTTTATGTCCAAAGCATAACCTAAGGCTTATGTCCCCTCATTGTTCAGTTTATACCTATTCTTGTATCACCACTACTTCTATGCCTCCCTTACAGCTTATAGTTCTCATTAGCCACTAAATTAGAAGCCCCTGGAGAGAAATGATTATGGCTTTGCAGTCATCATTGTGCTTAGTAGTAAGTACCCAATAATATATTTGATTAGCAGTCAGAGAGCTAACACATTAACCATTTCACTTAAGCCTCATTAAATCTCTTATGTGAAGAGCACTACAGTGCAGGTTATTGACTAGATGAGGAAACTATCTTATTTATCATCCAGGTATTATTCTTTATCCTTGTTCTCAGACCAAGTGACACCAAATGTCAAAATGTTGTTTGATTATAATATCCTTCCTTATCTTGGTAATCAGCTGTTTTTACCCTTAAAACTTCAGTTCTGAATGGGGAATAATTGTCTAATAGATTATCCATGAATCTGTCATACACTGTCAGATATTTTCCAAACACTGCCACTCAAATGACTTCTCAACACTCAGCTGCCTTAATTAACCTTTGAGATCAAAGACCCCATTTTGTTTTTTTCAGACAGGGTTCACTCTGTCACTCAGGCTAGAGTGCAGTGGTGCAATCATAGCTCACTGTAGCCGCGACCTCTTAGGCTCAAGTGATCCTCCCACCTCAGACTCCCATCACTGAAATTACAGATATGATGTGCCACCATGCTTAGCTAAGTTTTATTTTTACTGCTTTGTAAATATGGGGTCTCACTATGTTGCCCAGGCTGTTCTCAAATTCCTGGGCTCAAGCAGTCCTCCTGCCTCAGCCTCTTGTGTCACTGGGATTACAGGTGTGACCCACCACACCCAAGTCACATTTTCTCATATATGAACAAAAGGTGTTAGAATCCTGGGCCCTGAAAGGTTAGATTGTAATTATATGGATTCTAAACTTGGCCTTGAACTCATCATTATATAAATTTGAACTTGAGATGCACAAAAGGCCTGAATTTTAAATCAAAGTTTTTTTACTATGCTCTGCAGATATTTGCTCTCATCAATATCTAGGTATAGCAGACAAAATGCAATATAATAAAAGGTATTTGGAAAATCAGAAAAATTCTCCCCCAACCCCAAATAAAAAAGTAAATCCAGTAGAATTAAAGCCTAAATGAATGAAGAGGATTAGACTGTCATGATCAATTTAGGAAGTACAACTACATTAAATCTATGATCCCTTAAAAATTTTAATAACATTTATTTTTTAAATTATTATTATTATTATTTGAAGACAGTTTTGCTCTTGTTGCCTAGGCTGGAGTGCAGTGGTGCGATCTCGGCTCACTGCAACTTCCACCTCACGGGTTCAAGCAATTCTCCTGCCTCAGCCTCCTGAATAGCTGGGATTACAAGCATGCACCACCACGCCTGGCTAATTTTGTATTTTTAGTAGAGACAGGGTTTCTGTGTGTTGGTCAGGCAGGCAGGCAGGTCTCAAACTCCTGACCTCAGGTGATCCACCCACCTCGGCCTCCCAAAGTGTTGGGATTACAGACGTGAGCCACAGCGCCTGGCCAATTTTTTTTTTTTTTAATTTTTTGATGCTATGCAACAGTTGCTCTTTGCAAAGTGTCACTCTCAAGTAATAATAAGTATCTCACTGGAAAGAAAGATACAAAGGTAAATTGAGTGATCATCCTTAGATAGCAGGATAAATTATATAGATATGTTTTCCATTTTAATTATTTGCCTGATTATCTATAAAGGGTGTGTTCAACTTTATAGAGAAAATAACAAAAACTATTAATATGTAAAATGGAAAATCATGACTAGAAGCACAATATAAAGACAATGGTTTGAATATTATTCCAAGGAAATATCACTTTAGGTTACCTGTTAGAGTTATATTTGCACTTTTAGTTTATGTAAGAGTATAGCAATAAAAATGCAAATGTTTATTTACATATGTTAGTATAAGAAATATAACTGACATTGTCTCACAAACTGTTTTTTACAACTATCTTAGGAGTATTACTTCAGTTTAAAATTAGTATTCATTCAATTTGGGGGCAGTTGGTTAAGTAATTGAAGAGTCCTTACAAACTTATACAAAATAGTACTTCAAATCATTGCTTTCATAGATTTGGATCAGTTTTTTTCCTTCTTGTACCTTCCTCTCCCGAATCATCTACAAAATCCAAGATTGATACAGTTTTGATAAAATAAAAAAAACAACTAGTTTCAAAGGCCAAGAACTTGATGGAGAGAACAAGCAGAATGACATACGAACAATTGTCTTTTATCTGGAGGATTCTGTAAATGAAAAGAGAATAAATACATTTCCTTCCTAGAGAAATCAAGCTGGAAATAAACAGAATGAGCTTATATCCTGAATGCTGACATGTTTTGTAGACCTCATTCCCAAAATGTCTCTTTTTGCAATACTAACACTATTTACAAAGTCTTGGGTACAGATAACTGATAACATTAAAGCTTCTGACAACAGAGATTATTTTTTTAAATGTCATAATCTTCAGGCTGTTTGACGAGAGACAGATGAGGGAACTTAGTGCCTTTCTCAACTATCCCTCACCATAGTCATTTTGTAATATTTATTGTACATAAAAGTAGAGTGTACTGATCGCTCATTTTTTGCCAAATATGTCAAGTTAAGTGAAGGTGATTTTGGAGGTGATCAGAAGACAATGGTGCATAAAATAGGAAAAATCCAGTATGAATGGGGAGCCCCTTCCTTTCAATTTTTAAAAAGTGACATTTCAGAGATTGTACGAAAGAACATTCTCACACTTTCCCAATCCTCCTATAATTATTTGAGACAAAACCTGCAATGAATTTCAGATAAAAATGAAGTACAAACAATATCAATGAATTCACCAGACAACCCCCCCGCACCTACACACACACACAAACACACACACACACACACACACACACACACACACCCTAAATTCAGGGTGCGTGCTCTGCGTTGCAAAATACCTATCTATTTCTTGCTTTTGATCATGGATCAAGTGGCCTAATAACTTCTGACATGATTAGATTCGGAATTTTATTGAAACCTCTTTCTATCAGCAAACTATAACAGCATGGTTGTATCTATTGGGCTTCCAGTGCAATGTGGTAGCTGTTCTGTTCATTTCCTCTTTTCCCCTTTACTTTGCCTGTTCCTTGAGCTTCCTCTATTCACTTTGTCCTGTACCACAGTATCTGATTACATGATCAAGGCACTTATGCAATGTGCTGACACACCTCCTGCCTTCCTGGCATTGTGGCCAACATGCTTAGGGTAGAGATTACCATGGGAATTTCTGACTGGGTCTATGTATTTAAAATAATTGAGCAACACATACAATATCAGCAGCAAAGTGCAAAAAGTGCTGGAAAATAGAGGAAAGGATAGAGAAAAATGGTGAAGCAGTAAGAGAAGCAAAGATAAATGGATACAAGATGGAAGAAGATATGACAATGTCTTATAAAAATCATAGGTCTAAGGTCTAAATTGTAGTTCCTGTTCACAAAGAGCAATGAGAAATTCTGAATTCTATTTTTTGTTGTATATGGTGAAGTATCATTTTTTAATTTTATATATTTATAAGGTACAACATGATGTTTTAATATATTTATACATTGGGGAATGATTAAATCTGGCCTATTAACATATCAATCACTGCACATACTTATCCATTTTTTTGTGGTGAGAACCCTCAAAATCTACTCTCTGGGCAGTTTTCAAAAATACAATACATTGTTATTAACTATCGTCCACATGGTATATAATATAAGTCCCAAACATTCCCCCTGTCTAACTGACACTTTGTATCTTTTAACCAAGAACTCCAAGCCCTCTTCCTAACCACCCAAGAGGGGTTACCAGCCCCCTGGTAACCACCCTTCTACTCTCTCTACTTCTGAGTTCCACTTTTTAAGATTCCACATATAAGTAAGATTGTGCAGTATTGGTCTTTCTGTGTCTGGCTTATTTTATTTAACAATTCTCGGCCGGGCATGGTGCCTCACGCCTGTAATCCCAGCACTTTGGGAGGCCGAGGCAGGTGGATCACGTGGTCAGGAGTTTGAGACTAGCCTGGCCAGCATGGTGAAACCCCATCTTTACTAAAAATATAAAAAATTAGCTGGGCATGGTGGTGCTTGCCTGTAGTCCCAGCTACTAGGGAGGCTGAGGCAGGAGAATTGCTTGAACCTGGAAGAAGGAGGTTGCAGTGAGCTGAGATGGAGCCATTGCACTTCAGCCTGGACAACAGAGCAAGACTCTGTCTCAAAAAAAAAAAAAAATTCTCTCCAGGTTTATCCATGCTTTCAGAAATGACAAGTTCAGTCTTGATGCAGTTCTGTCAAAACCATCCCCAAGAACCTTAGGAACCTCACTTGCACAAGCTCCCTGTGTTCTCTTTTCTGTTAAACGGAAATAAACATATTCGGCCTGCTGATCTTGCAGTCTTGTTCACTGTGGCATGACCCAGTGCCTGTAATAAAGCTTGGGACGGAGCAGGAGCTCAGTACAGCTGTGAACACCCAGAATGAAAGCCTTGCAAGACTCAAACACTCAGGGCTCTTCCTAGGCAAAAATCCTAAATAAATGGAAGTCTATTCTGACTTCCTTGCCTCCCATTCTCGTGAAATTTCACTATTTTACTATTGGCCTTTCCCTGTCCCATGAAAAGGAGCTCTTGAGTCGTTTCCATTTGTTCCTTCATTTGAAAAGAAACACTTACACTGTTTATTTAATTTTTATGGTAGGTAAAACTTAATCATGGGTCATAGAGATATTAGTATGTTAAGGCTCAGTTTTATTTGGAGAAAGGGCTCTCTTTATTTCATAGCTAAAGCCATGTTTTAAATTATTATAGCACTATACTGCTCAATTCAAAGGAAGACAAAGGGCCTGAGATCAGGTGTTAATGACCAAAAAAAGTGATCAAAGAGAACTATGTGAGAAGAAGCTGGGACGGTAAGATTTCAAAGCAGGAAAGTACAGAGCTGGAATTACAATGCAAAGAAGGAAACCAGTCACACAGAAGACACAATGTCACTCTATACTCTGCATTCAGGCTTCCTCGGGTTGTCTAATATTTAAAGTCTGATGTAGCCCAGGCCCAAATCCAGGAAACTTTTTTTAAGGTCTGTGTTGAGTGGGAATAGGGGCAAGGCAGGCACAGGGGTAGGAGAACTACTTTCAGTAAAAATTATATATTTGCCTCACAGTTCTCAATAGAATATTACAAATTACATATTCTTGATTTGAAGGGGGTAAATTAATTTTGTATAAATTTGATTTTACTTACATTCTATTAACTAAGACATTCAGTTACATTTTGAGCAATATATCACTTATATTTTAACTATTTTAACCCATATTATCGAGATCCACACATTTTGGAATGTTTTCTGTTTTAATGGAACCATGTGGTTTTAAGATGTTCTTCATGGGTGGCTGACGTATTCTGCTATTTATTTGGAAGAACTTGAAAATTATTTTATTGTTACCTGTAGGTTTATTTTGTTTGGCTAAAGCCATCATAAACTTCATTATTCGATGAGGCTCTTTCAAACCCTTTAGATTGTATGTGTATTTTTTCTTAATGTGGTTAACTGGGATAAGTGAACACGATGGCAAAATACATACATTTCATTGCTGCTTCTGCTATATTCTTTTTAATGTTAAATATTCTGTAATTCTAGTAAGTGTGTGACTTTATATATTTATGACCAAGTTTTAGTGTTAGATTGAGCCCTTAGAGACTCTGTTTTCCAAGCAATAATTGATATGTTTTAACAGTTTTAATTTGGAATAGTTAAAACATCACTTAGCATGGTTTATTGCCTGTAATAACCACCTGTGAATATTTGTTGTGTGAAGAGACTTCAGTTTAGTAATATTAATATTGAATAAAACAATACAAATATGTTTGCTATTTTGCTGTTTTCTATAAATAATGCTTTGATGTGCAAAGGAGTCTTTAGTTTCCCAGCTTTAGTCCTACTTAGCCCTCTAGACTCAAGTGTTACTTCCTAAAAGGTGTCTTCCTGGACCCCTAAAACTGGGACCTTCCTGTCCTGAATGCTTCCTGTGCGTATTTCTGTTCCTGCAGTTGTCATGCTATTTTGTGTTAATGCTGCTCTCTCTCTGTGCCTGTTTTTTTCCACCAGACTGTGAAATTCTTAAAGGCCAAAAATATAGATTATAATTCTTGTACTCTCCATGCCTGGAATATAAAATGTGCTGCGTATTTCTAGAATAAATGGATAAATGAAAATATTGTCTCTTTTGCTAGATGACAACCCATGATTCCACATCTGTATAAATGAACAAACGTGGCTGTGTAAAAGTTAAAGTACTCTAAAGATGAGGTTGTTACTTCCTCATTTTAATGCAGCCCTCTATATATGCCCCAACATTTCTATTGAGCAACTTTTGTGTAAGATAAATGTATTCAATGTAACTGTCTGGGAAGATAATTTGTAAGAACATATTCTTTTGAGAGTTCGACATTGTGTTCATTTATCTTGGTTAACGACATTAAAAAACTCAGTTAAAAAAGTTTTTATGGACTTTATTATCAGAAGCATAGCTGCCATTGTGCATGAGTACATGTGTGTTTCTCTTTACCGTCAAGTTTTTCTGATTAGAAGTAAAATCACATTCCTTTTGGAATCCAGATATTTTTGGTGTAAGACAAGCCTATTTTTAAATTGGCATATCAACACTCTTAAGCTCCAAACGATACTCTCCATCCTCCTTGAAATAACTGCATTTGACTAGATTGGTTCTCCAGGTTCTCACACACGGTGTCCCCCTAGCATTTGGAGCTGGGACCACTTATTTCATCAGAGGCTCAGTCATTTCCAATATACTGGACTGGGCTGGCTCACACCTCTAGGTCACAGGAGTGTCTCATGTTCTGGATCAAGGAGCAATTATGCTGCCTCTATAATAGGCCTTGCCGCTGATGTTGCTTTTACTTTGGTACTCTGGTTTTGAGTACTGGGGTCCATAATTTTGTCTTCATAAATCCTTCTAGGTATTAGATTCTGTACCAGAAAAATCACTTTCAATGAACTAAAGTTCCTGAACTTATTTTCTCCTAACAAGGTCTTAGAGAGCTGCTTTGCACATTCTCTAATACATTCTATGCCTAATATAAGAATATTGATTATCTGTTTGCACCAGATATGAAGGCTTTACATAGACCACCTCATTTGGAATATTTTATTTAATCCAATGAATACAAATCAAACCAAATACTCGTGAGTATTTCTTGTGCGAGTTGATGGTAGGGACTGTTGTTCGGCTCATAGAAGACAGCAAGCCTAGAGACTGGTATCTACCATTCAGATCTTCCTTA